GTTTTGCTGGACTTCACAAATGACACCTTGTGTTGTTGTTCGGATAGGAGTTTTGTATGTGTTTAAGCTTCATCAGTATCTTCTTGTTGGTGTGATCTAACTTCATTATGCTGATTTAAAGATATCTTCTATATAATATTGGTTTTGGGCGCTCTCAATTCTTTTTAGAGTAAGAAGCATTTGTTTCATGACTAACTTACACCTGTTTGTAACACGTGCATTCTCTAATGATTAGGACCACAGTTTTATCGTTTTTTTCCAAACTATGTTTTCCAACTAAGTTCAAGTCTTTGCAATCGAAAAAGTTAAATATGTTGTCTGCTTAGCCTTTACTAAGAGGAATTTCTTAAATTGACCATGATAATTATGGCTTGTCATGTTTGCCCTACAGTTCTCTTGATTTTTCTTCACTTACATTTGTTATATGTATTAAAAATTGTTGTGTCTCCTTGAAGAATAAAGCCTCTTATGAAATGAGGAAGTTGAGTATAGATTCTTTCCATCATATTTTCTTAGTCATAGCATTCTTAGTTAAATGAAATAAGGGTACACCATTTTTCCTTTGGTGCATATTTGCTGACATAACTCAATATGTTCTTTCAAACTACACCAGATTTATGTGTTATGTATGTCAACTGTAAACAACATATACTTGATTATTCCTTGTTGACAATAATCTGATATCTTCTAAGTGGAAAATTTAATTCACATTATTCATTAAGGCTTCTGATATCTAAAATTAACTTTCCAACTTCCTCTGTTTATCCTCTCTTGCCACTTATTAAAAATGAATTGAACTGTTTGAGGCGTCTTTATTTTGCTACTTCACTTTTTTTTCCTCCATAGTGGTGGACATGATATCTTCTTTTCCTATATCTTTATCAGTCACTCCAGGTTTCTGAGTTCCACCTTCAATAGGCCAGGCTGTCTTTTCTGAGGTGACCACTTCCCTAGCTTCTCAGCAGGACCCCTCTTCCTGGCATGTCTCTTCATCGCCATGTAACTGTGAGTGAATTCACATGTCTAGCCCCTGCCTGCTATGTCCTGTGCTTGTTTGGATTTGCATATTTGTGCCTCCCAGCAGCTCTAGAAAACTCCTTTGTCATTTTCCCCTCCAATGCTGACTGTCCGTCCTTCAGCCTCCACCCCCCAAGTTGCTCTTCTGGGTCTCTGATTAAATGCCACTTCCAATAGATAAAATTTCTGTATCTTGCTATTTGCTTCTGATATCACCCATCTTAAACACTGTGCCTAGTATCTCAATCCGTCATTTAACATAAAAATACATGTCAAATTACATGTCAAGTAATAAATGTCAAGTTATATCTGTTAATAATAATGTACTATGTGCTTCTTTTCTCAACCATTTAGAAATTTAGACTTCTATGCCCCCTGGTCAATTTTTCAGCAGAAATTTTTATTTCTTAATCATTGATTTTTTATTTATTTTGTAACTCCACACTCATATGGCTAATAGGGAATCTAAATCTATCATTTATATTTTCTACTAATTTCATATGAAATCGATTTTCCTGTTTGTAGAGTGAATTTTTCTATCACCGGAGGTAAAAATTAGAGTTTCTTCCTATAGACAAGTCTGCATTTACTTCTGTCACAAGGCACAGGGAGGCACCAATGTGGAAATCCTTTGAGGTCTCAGATCACAAGGAAACTTGGTGGATTCAGCAGCAGGGCTCCAGGCTATGCCTCCTACTTAACTGCAACACCAACACGGGCATCCGGCTCAATGCAACCTTCCATGCTCTGCTTCCTGCTCACTTCTCACTAGCCTTGGCTTAGCTCCGTCTTCATAAAAGGAAAAACTGAAGTCTTTGGAAGCTCCCCTTAATTTAGGGAGGTCAAGGATGGCCTTATAAAGTTGGATTCATCCAGTAGAGTTGCTGTACACGGATAGTGCCCCCCATGTACCCACAAACATAAGCTGTGATATTGAAATTTTTGATGAGAATGGCAATCAGCAAAGAATGGGAACACTATTCAATTAATTAACAAATAATAATATACAATCAGAAATTCATGAGTGAAATACAGTAATTCAAGGATAAAGACTCGTGGGTCAGAAGATATTACAGGTAAATATGAAGCATTAAGAAAAGTTATATACTGGATAATGTTTGTTTTTGATTTAAGCAAAACCTAGTTTTGAAGGAGAATGTTCCCACACAAGAACCCATACTTAGGCATTCCACTCTGAACTCTAAACCTACCCCCCTAATTCTCAGCTAAAGTTGCTTTAGAGGCAAATAATTGCACATATTGTACAATTCTTGGCTTATGCTAATTTATTACACTGTAAGTCTAAAATATGAAGAATTAAGAAGCCATGAATATTTCCAAGTAATAACAAAGAACCATGGCAGAAATTTCCAAATAAGAATATGGATAAATATTAATGTAATTTAAGAAGTACTACTGTGAGAAGGTAAATTTGTCCTCTGTCTCTGTTCAAAACATAGCAATTGGGAAAAACACTTTGGCAGTAAATCAGTTTTTAAACATTCCTATAACCATCTCCTTACATGCCCTTGGGCTTCCATTGTCGCTTACCTGCCAGGGGTGCCTTTACACTTCCTACTCCTTAACCTGGCACTCCTGAAATGGCAAGACTCCAAACATCAAATATTTCTATGAAGACTCAAGAGCAGATTATGAACAACATGTTGAAGAACCTCAGATGAGCCAATTTGCAACAGAATTTAGACCCCGCAGTAGTACCTGAATAACCCAGGGAGGATGTTGCTATGTTTTTTTTTTACATGTAACAGAATGCTCAGCTATTGACTTAAACTAGGCTGGTGTGGAAACCTAGACCCTCAGGAGGTTCTCAAAACAGTGTGATTATGAAAAGTTCAAATGCATCTCACCTTGGACATTGAATGTATTTGTAAAAACTGTGAAGTCAGGAACTCCCAGGGATTTCACTCACATAAAAACATTGAGTGAGCACTTCCTGGGCATCCCGACACCACGGGAAATGGGACAGAAGCAGCAGTGAATTAGCCAGCAACAGCCTTGCCCTTTGGAATTGGAATTGATTTTCATTACTGAATATTAACTAAATCTTGACATTATCAACTAATTTTTATTCACAATGTATATTTCTTGATGTTTTGATTCATTTTTTCTTGGGGAAACAATGTTTGATTGTTTTCATTTACGTTTTTGTCTCTCAGAAGACTGCTTTAGCTAATGCCACGGGGAAATCTTATTATCCTGGATAAGGCTTCAAGTGATAGCCTCTTCCAGAAAAACTTAATGTCCAAAGGATCTGCCAGTTAGACATGTCACAGTGTGTATGTGTGTGTGTGTGTATGCGCATGTGTGTGCACGTATGGGTGCGCATGCATACACATGAAGCACATGTCCTTGGACACATGTGTTGACATTCAGAGACAAAAAACGCTGTCCTCTTCAAAAACAGAAAGGATCATCTAACTTTGGCTTCAAGTCCCAAATACACTCCCAGGCACAATTTTCACATACTCGCACATCCACAGTCAGTAAAGCTCAAAAAGCAGCTGATGTCTGCTAGCCCCAGAGATAAATTAACATGCAGCTAACACCAGAGGAGCCAGAAACACTCATTGCAAGTGTGAACACATAGCTGATTGCAGGACTGTGTCTTTCCGAGGGCTGACCTTATAAATTAAACAGTGTAAATCTCAAGTTAGTGTTTTCTGAAGATTCTGATTCACTGTGAACATTAGGGTGCCCTTCAAATTAACATCTAACATTATTAGCCTATTGTTGGACATGAAGAGCTTCATTACCGAGTACTGCAAAAAACAAAAGCATCCATTGGCAATGACACAAAACTTTGAAAGACAATGTAGGGCACTTTTTTTTGGAGCAAACTGAATTTTTAAACTAGAAAATGGAAGTTATGTATGGAAAAAAACTTGGAATAGTAAATAAAGGTCTTTACTTGAATGCCTAGAAGTGTAACAAAAAAGCACATGAAATACTTTGTCCTACTGGAACATAACTTTCCACCAAGACTTCCTTAGAACTAAGTTCTCTCAAAACCAAGTCCGTGTCGAGGCACTTTCTAATCACCATGTGGGGCTCTGTCATCCTTATGCTGAAACTTGGTCCTCAACCCTGCATCTGTGTGGCAAGCATCCCTTATTCTCGCTAGGCCAGGCAGCTTGTCTTCTCTGAGCACTAAGTCCTATGAAGCCTCTGACTCCTCTACGCTTGCTTATTGCTCTATCTCCAGTGCCCGTCAGCATGCCTACCTGTGCAATTAACTAATAAGAAACTAATTCATAAATGAAATAAAGGGAGGTAACCTCCCGAAAGAATGCAAGACCACTTCAGAAAAATGAGAGCTGTTTTTTTTTAAGCAAATAGGATTAAAGCAGAAGGGAAAAAAAATGAGCATTCTCTGTTTCTATCACAAATCTGCCATAACTGACAGTTTCATCAGCTCACATGAACACACATATATACAAATCCAAAGTCTCGGGCATGGAGGAATTCTCACCTTCAGATGACTGCCTAAAAGCTAACAAAGATGTTACACAATTTTCCAAAGCCAAAAGAATCTTCAATCTCAATTTTCAAAGAAAAAACGAACATCACGCTCTCCAGTTGGTGTTCCCAGTTGGAAGAGAGAGCAGAATGGACTGTAATAACACCTTTCATTCGGGAGCTGCTCCATCAAAAATTATGGGATGTGGAGTCATAATTAGCGATGACAAATAAATGGACTATGAGTAAACTCATCAGCACTGTCAGCAAAACTGCAAATTTAAAAGCACATTCATCTTGGTTAAAAAAAAAAAGTATGGAAGATGAGTATGGAAGATGAGTACATGGTCTGACTAAATTAAACCCGCCAACTGGAATCCTACGTATGGTTCTGGGATCTTGTCCTGTAAGTTCCCTGTGTCCATGGAATCACTCCCAACAAGCCCTGGATCAGCCCCGGGGACCCCGTCCATCAGCCTCTTGGCATTTCTCCTCCCATGGCTTACCTGTAGTGTCGGGAAATCTCTTCTTCCACCTGGGTTATAAAATCACATTTGGTACACGAGTGCTCCTTGCTTTCCTTGCCGGCCTGCTGCCCCTCTGACCCTGGCAGGTGACTGGCCTCTTGTTTCACATCCGCAGCTTGGGCCTCGTGCACGGTCTCATAGTGAAAGAGGAGCACGTCGACATCAGGGGTGGAGAAGGAACACTGGTGGCACTGGTGCTTGACCCGCGAGCTTCCCGCCGCCCCAGGAGACAGGTGCAGCAGCAGGAGCGCACAGTGGGAACAATTACTTTTTCGACAAGCAAACGGGTAAGTAATCTCTCCAAGGTGCTTTTCTGGGCTGCAGAGGCCTCGGGGACAGAATGGACAGTGCTTAATGGTACACTTGTGAATGTTATGGAGCTGTTGATAATGGCGGAGAAGAGGCCCCACGACGATTACATCGGGACCGTGGCTTTTGGAATATCTAAAGTCACAGAACTGACAGTTATAGCTTGTAACCATAGTATCCTCTGCTCCCTTAGCGGAGAAGTCCTTCTTTTTCGCCCCACTCGAGCCCTTGTCTGCCTTGGTCAGGGGCTCCCCTTCTGCACTCTTGGCTAGGTCATTCTGATTGATGACCGAGCCCCTGGGAAGCTTATCGTTCAACTCTGGATTAAGGCCTCCTGACTGGACTGCTCCATGCTGCTTGCTGTAATGTTCTAGCAGCTTCAGTGAGCTAGATGACTCGCAGCTGAAACTACAAAATTTACACCAGTAGTAACTGGTGGCCTCTGTACCATTTTGTCTCGAGGAATCGAGGGGTTTGATGGGCACTGAGTAGCCAACTGGAGTGTCGTCTCCCGCCTTGACCGTGGTCTTGTCCTGCCACTTCCCCGAGTCTGCAGAATCACTGGAGCGGAGGGCAGGGATGGATTTGTTAGAATTTTTCTCTGAAGGTTTCGCACCCTCAGAGGAGGGGAGAGAAGCTTTGATTTTATTTGGGTGAGTCTGAAGAAAATGTTGTTCTAGTTCAGTTGATGAGTTGCCCATATAAGTGAAATTGCAGAATTTGCAGCGGAAATACTTGGTGTTTCCTTGGCAATCTGGTGTTTTCCGTCCAATGCCAATGAATGTTCCACCTGAAGTGACCTGGGGTGTAGAGGAGAGGGATGTTACTTTAAACGTGTCATTAATTCAATGGGTTCCCTGCAGGGGGGCGGAGGGAAGGTGCCAAGTATTCCACATCAAAAACTACAATAGTACTCCTGCTTATTATGAAATCACTTGAATAATCAGAGCTGAATAAATTCACTCTTCATTTCCCAACAGCTCCTCTTTGAGAGGCTCATTATGCTAAACATTCAGGGCCAAAGTAACAGATGAGGGCAAGTAATAAAAGCACTCTCACTAATCCAAAAGATTCAGTAATACACACCTTTGAAAATCTAAGGAAACAACTGGTAACTGCGGAGGTTTTACTACCGCTCCCTTAAGATCACAAGCATGCAGAAGCACCCACATCAGGACTGGACAGAAGGACCATTTTACAAAGAGGAAGGGTTGCTGTGTGAACCAGAAGCAGACAGATGATCATTAGGGAAATCCGTCCAGGTCTTAGAGCAATGAAGCTGCAGGCACAGACAAGGCCCAGCTTTTGGATAAAATGACTACACAAAAGGCTTGAAGTCCAAGCACAGATCCTGAAAATGATAAGATGAAGGCAGGAAAGTCTGGTGAGGAACAATGTCAAGATTCCCAAAATCCCCTAAACTAAGGGTCTTAATTCAATGAGTTTCTGTTCTACCGCAAACAGGTGCCCAGTCTTCCCACGAGTGGGTCACTGGGATGTTTAAATATCAAAATAAAAGGATTCTACTGCAACACTCCCTGCCTCTCTGCTTCCTGCCTCCATGATGACCCTGGGCAGTGACAGCAGCTCCGCAGGCCTCCAAGAGCACTTCCTCCAAAGCTCTTCCTCCCTTCTCGGGCACGCACCTCCAAGGGCCTCTCATCTAATCCCACCACTGAGCAGCCAACAATCACAATTGAGGACAGAGCTTTTGCTCCAGAAAGGGAGGAAATTTCCCCTTTCACACGGAATGGATTTCTGAATTTTTCCAACAACCAGATGTAATGTATTAAGCAAGCCATATAATCATGTTCTGCCTTCTTCAACAGCTGCTCAGGAACGACATGTGCAATGGCTGCTCGTATCCAAATCACTTCATGAGAAAAGACTCGGGCATCCAAAGGCTCTACCTGAAATGCAAATAATATTCCTGTAGTGCATCCAGGGATACATTTGTCCCTATATTGTTCAGGGCTAAGACAAAAGCCTGCGCTCTGCTACTTGAAAAGTGCTGTGACTTGATGAAGTTCTTTCAGTTCTCTAGCCTACAGTTTCCTCAGCGGAAGCACGTCTGTGTCAGGTAATGGAGTTTCAGGAAACGTGCATTAACACCTGAACAACATCTACTGCGCGTTAAGATAATAAGGCATGATGGGCTCCGCAGCCTTTAATCATCCAGGGATAGCATTTCCCTACGCTCACATTCCCCATAACAAGCACACACATTTCAGTCTCTCAGTAACAGCATCACCGAACCAGAAAGTTAAGGATGAACCGCTCATCCCACCTGTAACCTGACAATCAGTCAAAGGTGTGAGAGATCTTAAAGCCATCTTCTCAAGCAGACCATCTGGAATATTCTAACCTAGAATTTAACTGACTGAAACAACTGAAACTTGCAACGAAATGTAATGCACGCCACTGCAAACTTTCACCATATGTTCCCCAATTCAAGGGAGGTGAGGAAAAACTTGCTTTTCAAAAACTAAAACATTTAAATAGGATTTCTTCAATCTCATGTTTTGCTTATCAACTTAAATTTGAATTGAAAGCAGTAAGTTCAGAACACCATTCTTCAGGGTTGGCAAAGAGAGTGTGCCAAATCTAGAAATGAAATTGTTCTAGTTTTATCTGCCACGCTGCTTTAGAATCGCCTAGCTCTCCTTACATAAAATACATTGAACTAACCTCTGCTCGTACAACCAAGATTCGTGAAAACCGCTACACATCATGATTGCTTCTTTGATTTTGCAATCTTTAAGCCTCATGTGCTATGACCACATTGAACGAGCTGAATTGTGATAGATTTTAGGGAAGTTAGAGCGAACAAGCAAGACCACAACTCTGCCTTTGAGATACAACAGCAACAACAACAACAACAACAAAATTAAAGACAGCCTTTTATCCTTTTGTATCTCGCTTTGATTCCACTTTTTTTTCTTTCAGACAAACTTCTCCAAACTTCCAGACACCTTGGTGTTCACTGTTAAAGAAGGAAGTAATGCATGGACGTTGCGTTTTTTACACTTGTGATGAAGACCCAGTGAAATCTCTAGAGATGTGATGGTCACTGGAACTGTGAAGTGACAAAACTGCCCCCTAGCTCCCACCAGCAGGAAAGCTAGTGGCCACGCTCGGCTATTTAACACGTGATGGAAACCTAGTGCAAATGTAGAATTTTAAAGTTCTCAAGTCATTATCATAAATTTAAACAGTCATTTATGGCTAGGGAACACCATATGATGCAGCACACACAATAGTAATAGTGAAATGGATGGGATTATTATCTAGTAAATGAGCCATTGAAGACATTTCCCTTGCCAGTGAGTGAGAAGACTAAAAGGCGTTTGTGGGGTGGAAAGTGGGAACGGACACGAATGGCAGTCATTCGGTGACAGTCGCACACGTGACATCACTTGTATTCTTAGCTAAAAATGAAGAGCTGCCCCTTGCGCTTCCGTGGCTTTCTTGATCTATAGGACAGTAACAGTACGTGACAGGAAGTCGAGCTCAATGCCTCTGGAATGAATGGATCAAGGCAGCTCTTAATGAGATGTAACACAAACACAATTTCTCATCAAGGCCCTTGACTTAGGTGGGGCACCATGATCACTGACTTGCTCTAACATATGAACAACTTCTAAAAACACACAAAAATTAATCTTTTATCCAAAAGCAACTGCTACAGAGTCATCTGAGTGAGAATTACAGTTACATAGAAAATTCCCATCACAACTGTTGCAACAAACAGATTTTGTACTGTTTTTCACTGTGTAAAAATTGGGATAGCACTATTACTGTATTCTGTCCCTGCTTTTAAAAATGATACTTTCAGGCCCAATGCCCTAGCCTAGCCACTAAAATCCTCACATTGCATGCACCAGGATCCCATATGGGCTCCAGTTAAGTGTCCCAGTGGCCCTGCTTCCCATCCAGCTCCCTGCTTGTGGTGTGAGAAAGCACTTGCGGACGGTCCAAAGCCTTGGGACCCTGCTCCCACGTGAGAAACCAGGAAGAAGCTCCTGGCTCCTAGCTACAGATCAGCTCAGCTCTAGCCACTGCAGCTGCTTCAGGAGTGAATCAGCAGACAGAAGATCTTTCTATCTCTCCTCCTCTCTGTATGGCTGAATTTTCCAATAAAAATAAATAAAATCTTAAAAAAAAAAAAAAGATTCTGGCCATGTAGCATTTTCTACAGTTTTTATATGACTTTTAATAGAAATGCTTCACTGTAGAAGTGAAAAATACGAAAAAAAAGAATGAGCTCTTTTCAGAGTTTTTAACCTCAATTTGTTTTTCCACCTAACAACATAGATCAAGAATGAAAATATCCGAAAGAATATGTCAAAGGGAAATATTAGAAGACTCAGAATCCTTAAAATGATACTTCAGCACACATAGTTATTTTCTATGTAGCAAAAAAAAAAAAGATTTGTTTGAACTACACACAAACCTTTCTTCAGATGTGGTTCATTTTCAAGTACTATAATTGATAACAACAGAGACAATTAAGAGGGTACTAATTTATGAAGACTTGAGGTTACGGGCTGATAGTCAAAGAAAAAAAATAAAACTTCGAAAATAAAAAAGCTACAGGTAACAAAACAAAACAAAACAAAAAACACTGATAAAATACCCAATAAATCCTCAACTTTCAAATAACTTGAAGAAATATGAAATTAGTAAGGGTTAATCAAGGCTGAAAATAACCCTCATCGGAATTAATCTGCTAATATACACAGAGAATGCTTATGCACGCATGGTTTTTTGCAAACTTTCTGGATGAGGACTCCCATGATGTATTTTCTGATGGAAACTAAATGTGAAAAAAGTTTTAGTAAGAAATCTGCCTAAGTGGCAGCCATGCAGAGCTTGTTCCTGCCGTCTATTCCAGGGCTGCCATGTGTGCCCCAGGAAATACCATTTCTGTTTGGATTTAAAAATGTCAATCAGTGAGGCAGGGCCAAACCTTAAACTGGTTAAAAGAACATATCTAAAGGAACAATATTGCATCTGGTTCATGGGGTACATTTTTGTAGTTAGCTTTGGGAGATGAGAAAAATGAACAATTTACCCTAAACTAATTTTTTTTTTTCATTTTACTCAGTAGTTCTAATTTCCCCACCATTATCTGGTAATTGGGAAGGCAAATTACCAGGCAAACTTGAATTTATTCACCATAAAAGCAATCACGGAGCAAGTGGATGCAGTTTGGTGCTGAGGAATTCTCCATGGCGCTACCCCTGCACCCAGACCATCGCTGCCACTGGCTCACCACGCAGATACGCGTAACTGCATGTGTGCGGTAGATAGCATTTGGAAAAACAGAAAGCTTAAACCCTGAACCATGCAGCATCCTTCCCCCAGACACACCTACTATGAGCAATGAGATCAAGTCCAAAATCTTAACATGTTTGCACTTTAACACAACAACCTTGCAAGTAAACAGATGACAACAGGGGGAGAGAGGCTTCTGTTGAAAGACCCAGAAGGTTCCATGAAAACATGGCGGCCAAGCACCTGCTCCAGACTGCAGCTCAGCAAAGGCTTGCAGAGAAGAGAACAGATGAGCTGACGATGCCTGAGGATAAGAACTTCATCCAGGTCTCCCACAAGAGCATGGGAGCTCCAGCACATGGGCCACCTCCTGCTTCCTTCTAATGGAACAGGCAAGGAGCTGCATGGGAAACAGAAAAGCTAGAAACCTGAACTGGTATCCACAGATACTGGCAAGGAGCTGCATGGGAAGCAGGACACTTAGGACTTGAACTAGTACTTGTGTGGGATGCTAGCATTGCAG